AGCCCTCCTGGCAGGGCGGCCACGTGCGTTGCGTTCCCCGCCAGCCCGTCTCTGCTGTTGTGTTGTGAGCAGGGCAACGAGGGGCTCTGCTGCTGCTGCTGCTGCTGCTTTTCAGCACTGGGGTCTGCAGCTGTGATTAGAGCCAAGTTCTCTGCCCCTCCTGCAGCATCCTGCACCTGGGGGGGGCCCAAGAAAACACACCCAGACTCCCTTCGAAAGGGTTGAAAGAAGCAGAGCCCTTCCATCCCGTCCCGTGCAGAAAGCATTTTCTGCCATTGTTTGAGTTACACCGTAGTTGGGCCTTGGCATCCAGTTCCTGCAGGAGCACGAGAGGCTCAGCACCCAACAGGTTTGCTTCTGACGACCATCTGACAGCAGAGCCTCAAGTCGCATGGGTTTTCCTATATTTAGCAAAATAATATCTCTGAGCCACTTTTTCCTTCTTATTTTTAGTAGCTGGTAATTTTTGTAGATAGTAATTTGGGTCTGATTGGGACATGATGGCAGCTCTTCAGTTCCAATTATAGAAGAGCTTTTGCCTAAGTCTTGAGGATGGGGTGAATGTGGGTTTAAAGAGATGCCCAACCAACTAGTAGAGGCCTAATCCTGAGGGTCACGACCACCATGATAAAACATGGAAAGGACAAGTCGAAGCTCCCAGCCTGATGAAACTGCCCTGGGGTCTGTGCGTAAAGAGTGTGTCAGAGACCGGGACAGAGTCTCCACGGGCTGTGCTGGCCAGTGTTCATTTGGTCGAGTTTCATGTGGTGAGTGAGCGGTTTACTCTCCCAGGTGGTGTCACTCCTGAGTGTGAGTGGCCTGGCATGGGGACTATGCTCATGCAAGCTGGGACTTGCCAGGCAAGTGTGGGAGCGTCTTGGAATACGGAGAGCTGCGCTTGCTGACGTGAGAGAATCCCACAGGCCCGGGCCCGCGAAAGCCCTCGGGAAGACGGACAAGCCCCGACGCTGCTCTCTGCGGGGGACTGTCCCGAGTGCCCCCACGAGCCTGGGTGTGCGGAGTCTTCTCTCCTTGACCTCGTGGGGGCAGGATGTGGGTCCTGCCTGTGGCATCTGTGGAATGACGCAGCGTGAGCCTTCGAGTCGTGTTATAGTTTATGACATACAATCACGTAAACTTCGGGCAGGGTCTTTCCTGTCTCGGCTAGCCCTCCGGATCTTCCTCTAAGGAGCGAGAGGACCCGTGGCCACTTGCCATGTGTGAGGCAGTGCCGGCTGAAGGTCAGGCTCAGGCACTGGTGGTGGACTTGGGTAGATGGGGCCTGGAGTTGGCCACAGCACTGGACAGGGTCCACGGTGACCTGGAGACGAGGCAGCCAGGTGGGAAGGGCCGAGCAGGGGTGACACGTCTGCTGCACTCAGGCCTGAGGAAGCAGAGCGGCCAGAAGCAGGGCTGGGCTGGGTCCCAGCGTGGAGGCCACCCGGGTGGTGCTCTTGTCACCGTTCAGCGAGGCCTTCCTGAACGGAGCGCCCCTCTGCCGGCACCCCGACCCCTGCTCAGCCCTTTCCTCCGAGAAAGGAAGCTCGCTCCATCTTACCTGGTGTTTATCATCGGGTTGACAGGAGGGTGTGAGGTCCCTGCACACGGGATCCTTGTCTGGGTTGCCCAGCCCCTGAGCAGACAGGCCTGCTGCCCTCTCCCACGGGGTCTGGAGGCCAGCAGTGTAGGGGAGGTGAGGAGGTGATGGGAGACATGCCGCTGGTGGCAGCTGAGTGGCCTCTGGATCCTGCCCTAGGAGTGTCTCTGTGGAAGCTGGAGAGTTTGCAGGAGAACGTGCAGAAACCCAGCTTCGCAGCGTCCGGATGGTGAGATGGTGGCTGAGCCTGGGCCTCGGGATCGGTGTGGTGGGCCCAGGAGCCCAGAGTGGGTGCCTTGTGGTGTAGTTTGCTTGTCATCCTGGAGCCTCAATCAGCGAGGGAGACCTTCGCTAATGACCGCTGTTGCCGAGTGCCAGCACGTGCCCGCCTGTTGCCATTCCTGTCACCCAGTGGAGGGTGCAAGGTGGGAACCCGTTGGCTGCCTCCACCAGGAGCCAGAGCAGTCCTCCTGGTCTGGCTGTGAAGTGCCTGGGCCGAGGGCCTGGGGTTGGAACAGGAGAAGGAATAATGACCTCAGGCCACCATCAGCAGTGCCCTTCACAAGGAATCCCTGGCCCCGATGGAATCTGAGATTGTGTTTGCCAGGTTAACCCACAGAAGGGGTGGTGTCCTGGCCCAGCAGCCCGGGAGCCCTGTCGTCCACTGTGCCGGTGCCGAGACTTCCCCCTGGAGTGCCGTCCTGCCTGGTCAGCCCCTGGCTGAGTCTCAGGTGTCACGCCTGGCCGGCTACTCAGTTAGGGCAGAGGAAGTGAGACCCACAGGAGGCCCGCTCCACAGGCAGTGGAGAGAAGCTGGTGGTGGTTTAGACGGATTCTGCAGCAGGAGGCACCGCACGCTCCCTCCAGGCCCTGTGTGCCCCCGGCTGACTGTCTGAGAGACGGGGACCTGTCCCTGCACTCAGCTGCCAGGCCAGGCCAGCCCTGCCAGGGCTGTGAGCTCTCCGCTGTCACCACCGCTCCTTCACAGTAGTTCACTTATGCGACCTGTCAGCCATCTCTGATTTAAAAAGAAACCAACATTAAATAGGATATCTCACCTCCACAAAATGAATAAAAGTTTTCTTATCATTAATTACCCGGTGGGATTACATTCTAGTAACTTTCTAAGAAAAAAACTGTTTTAGGTATAACTTTTAAAATCTTAACACTGGTGTGGTCTGATTGTCAGGTCTCTTTTAAACACGTTCTTAACAGGTGAAATGTTCTTAGGTGTAAGGTGCTCACTGTAACTACAACTGCTCCCTCAACCTGAGTCCTTGAGCATGTCAGAAGGTCCCTGCATTTGCAGAACCCGGAGTCTGATGATGCTGATTGACGGAGCTTTTTAATGTGAAGTAGTCAGGTCCCTTTTGAATATGACAGGGAAAAGCACTGACCACCTTCGAGGAGCTGTTCTCTGTGAATGTGACCCCTCCTGAGGGGGACTCGTGGGTCAGAGCTCACGGTGGTGCCTGGTTGAAGGAGCAAGGTGGCCGTTCTGTCCCAGCCTAACTTCCCCCATGGGGACAGTTGGCTTTTTTGCTGAGTCACCTGTGTGGGATATTGAGCAGCAACACGCCCAGCTCCGTCCCTCCACCTCCTGGGCCCCTTCTGCACCAGCGCTGAGTCGAGGTGCCAGCTGCTTCTACCCTGGCACTCTGTAGGGAGAGTTCGGAGCCCTGCGTCTGTGAACCAAGTTCCCATCAGAGCTTCGGGGTCACGCGGAAGCCAGCCAGCCAGAGCTGGTGACGGAGCACAAATGGACGTGCAGTGTTTTTAAGCATTTCTTGGGTAAAGAGGTCACTTTTTAACAGTCGTATTGTACGGCTAAGTGAGGGCAAGCTTTCCCTGGTGTGAAGTTTCACATCGGCTGGCTCCAGGCGAGGCTGTGACGTGGTCCCGTGGCCTGGCTTCGCCCTCTCCTACCTGCTGCATTCCCACTTGAGCCCCAGCATCTGTGGGGTGTGCCCTGTGAAGAGAGCCGGGCTGCAGGCGAGGAGCTTTGACACTGTGTTTATACCCTGCAGCCTCTGGGTGCTCGAGATGGGAAAGCTGAACCGGTTCCCACTGGAGAGCGGGTGAAGCTAGTGTATCCAGGGGTATTCATGAGAACGTCTTTGGGTGTTGTTCGGCTTTTCCTTTTTTCTTGCCGGTGCCGGGATCTGAGTCCTCACAGTGCTTTACTTCATAGGCTCTTCCACCGACTGCGCCCGGGTGCTCACAGCAGTTCAGTTCCCTGCTCTCCTAAGTCTGCGTAGTTAAAGCTGGAGGGGACCCAGGCGGTGGTGCTGAGCTGAGGCTGGAGCCGCGCCCCCTCCAGACAGCGAGGGCCTGGGGAGGTCACAGCCTGCCTCTCGACAGTGTGAGGGGAGCCCTGCTGGGAAGAAGCCAGGGGAGAGCTGGCCTTTCCTCCTCTGGCTGGGAGCTGGCCCTGGGCCCCCAGCCGTCCCCGGGGTCTGGGGGATGATGCAGTGGTGCAGCAGGTGACCAGGAGCCAGCGTGGTGACACTTGCGGAACACTGTCCGCCAGCTCTCCGTCACAGTGACAGAGAACCTGACGCGGTCAGCTTAGCAGGAGGAAGGGGCGTTTCTGCTCATGGTCCAGGGCTGCTCTGTTGTGCTGTCACCCCAGGGCGCACGGTACCTCATGGAGGAAGTGTGTCCGAGGAGGCACAGTGTCCTTGTGGCCACAGGGAAGCAGAGGCCTGTGCCTCTGGGCTCGTACATTTTCAATTCTGGAAGCAGTGGCCACGTTCTCCTTCAAGAGGTAACGGGCTTCATCTCCCTGCGTGGAGCCTTTACCCCAGCCTCGTAACGGTGTCATGGCATGTCTGCTCGTTGGCCAGTCTGATGATTGACACAGCTCACATGACTTTAAACTGTGTTTCTTTACTTAACGGAAGTTGGACATCGTGCATGTGCGTCGTCGTGTTTCCTTTTCTGACGATCACCTGCTGGTGTTCTTGGCTGTTTCTGTTGGCCCGTCACATCCCTGTTCAGGAGCTCGCAGCACATTAGGCCTTGGCTGGGGTGTGCATTGTAAGTGGTCTCTATTTCTCCATTAGCCTTTCGACTGGCTCCTGACGGTTTTTCTTGCCCGTGCAGACAGAGCTGTCGGGTTTTATCTAGTTGGGTTTATCGTTCTTGTGTAGATTCTGTAATTTGAGACGTCGCTGGGCCTCCTCGTTGTGAGGTCATAAGGAAGGTCTGCTTCCTCCTGATGCTGTAATGGCTTCATGTTTCACACTGATGGCTTTGAGGCGCTTTCCTGCGGTGTCGGGTAGAAGTATGGGATGGAGTGTTGTTTTATTCACTTATTTATTTATGGAAGCCCTGTCGCCCGGTTGTCCTCAGCCAGTTAATGATTCTCCTAACTAATCTTTCCTCTTAATGAATTTTCAAGGTCCAAGAAGTTGTCTGCCCTTGCGGAAGCCCTGAGAGAAGTCCCCCTCACCAAGGGGCAGCTGGGGCTGGAGCTGGAGGAGCTGGAGGCTGCGGCCCTTCTGGTCCAGGAGGAAGAAGCTGCCGGAAGCGCAGCTGGCTCGCCCAGCGATTCCGGGGCGTCGGGATCTTCCGACTCTGAAGACTCGGCCTCAGAGCAGGACGAGCGGGCAGAGCGGCAGTGTGTGCCCGGGGATTCTCCACGGGGCCCCTTTCTGGAGAGCAGTGCCCCGCTTCCTGCTGGTGGCGAGGCCGGCCTGGGGTCCGCCATGGATCAGGGGGCGCTGCTGGCCGCTCCCCGGGATCCTGCAGGGCGCAGGCCTCTGATCGAGGAGCTCAGCGACCACCTGAGGACGACCCTGCAGGTTTCCACATCTCAGGGAGCTGACGCAAGGAGCCACCGCAGGACGCAGGACTGAGACGGGCAGGCGACGCCGGGGACTGACTAGAACCCTCCGTGGGCTGCGTGGGCTTGGCACTTTTTCCTTGTACATACAACGTTGTTCTTAAGTGAGCTGACTTTTATACATATTGGTCTCTTTGTTGCTTCTTGAAAATTAAAGTTCTGAAGTGTGGTAACTGAAGTTCAGCTGATGTCTACGGGGGAACAGGGGTCCTGCCGCTGCCTCTCGGGAACATCAGTGCCCTGCGCTCCGTCGAGGACCTCGTGTTCCTGTTGCGCAGTGTGCCGAGTACCAGCAGAAGCCGTCACCACAGTCGGGGCTTCCCGTACCTCCCGTGTCCTCCAGCCCGTGTTGTCCTGGCCTCCCCCGCGGCCAGCACCATCACCCGCGTCCCCCAGCGACCACTAATGTGCCCCTCCCGCAGCACTGGGTTCCCTGGGCTGTCCTCGTGCAGCACGGCTGGCTCTCGGCCAGGCCTCCCCTCGTAGCTGCCTTGACGCTGACCCCCGTGGCAGCAGGGCCAGGAGCTTCCGGGGGCTTTTCCTCCATTGCTGACGACCGTGTCGGTGAACAGCTTGCTCCTCTCACCTCCTGGTGAGTGTCCGAGTCGTTCCCAGTTTGGGGCTGTTAGAAACACAGCTGCTGTGACGGTTGTGCTCAGGCGAGGTGTGGACAGAGCTCTCGTTTGTCAGGTAATCATCTTGAAGTGCAGCGGCTGAGCCGTCAGGAGGTTGTGCCCCGTGACATTTCCAGGGCCCGTGAGCAGCTTTGCTCACAGCTGGCCATCTGCTGTGCTGGCAGCAGGACCGGAGTCCAGCTCCTCCCCGGGCTCCCCCTCACTGGGTGCGGTCCACTTGAGCCACATCCCATTTCTTTTTCTTTTTTCTTTTGAGACGTCTTACAGACTTTCCAAGGCCGGCCTTGAACCTGCGGCCCTCCTGCCTCGGCCTCTGAGTTGCTGGGACCACAGGCTGCACCCCCACACCCTGCTCCTGTGGCATCGGCTCTTCTCCTGACACCTGGGTGGTGGCGTCTTTTTGAAGTGTCTGTGGATCTTCCGCCAGTTTTCTTTTGAAGACGGGGAGTTTTCTCGTCTCTCTGTCTTGGGGGTCTCTGTTAGTGGGTCGAGCATCCTGCCACTTCAGTGCCTTGGTTTGGTCCTATCTTGTGGGTGCTGGGCCTGGATTCTTGCAGCTATTCCTCACCTTGTTTTGGGTGCCCCTCGGTGGCTTGCTGTGGTGTCCCCCTGTGTGCCAGGCCTTGTGGTTTGCTGGGCGGGTCTAAGGCGTGGTGCCGAGGGCATTTTTCCTGGATGCTGCCTCTCCTTAGTGTCCTCCCTGGGCCCCTCCCCTCTGCCTGCGGTCTCAGGTGGTCTCGCCCCACCTGGTCTCTCACTGCGCCCTTGAGGGCTGCAGAGCCCTCCTGGTCCCCTGCCCAGCCCTGCCTCCTCTCCCTCCAGCTACCCATGGTTGTCCAGGCCTGGGCCCTGTCCTGGCCCTCTCCTCCCTGGGCCCCGTCCTGGTCCCTGCGGGCCCTCAGCTGTGTCATGAACTCCAGGGTCCACCAGGTTCTGCCTGGACTGTCCCTCCTGCCTAGGCTGGGGTCCTTCAGGGCAGAGCGTGGGGCCTTCCCAGGGGCCCTCGGTTCCCTCCCCTGTCCCTGGTGTCAGTCCTGCGGATCTTCAGTGTGGTGCCCACCACTGTCCCGTGCGTCCCCTGTTTCTTTTTTGGCTGTGCCTGTCCAGGGAGCCGATCTGGCCTCCGTCACTCCACCTGGACCAGGAGCAGCGTCTGCAGCCTGTGTGTTCTCCTCCAACCGCAGGCTCCCGGGGGAGAAAGGACCTGAAATCTGATACACGTTGATCTCAGCTGCATTTTTCTTCCAAGAAAGGGTTGGATTTAGGGGGACTGCCAGGGTCTGTGTTTCTGGTATAATCCCAGCTGGCGTTAACCTGGTAGTGGGCGACGATGCCACTTGACGTGGGTGTTAGCGCCTGGACCCACCAACAGCACGGCAGGACATGTTCCAGACGCGGCCTCCCTGGAGAGCGGCAGGTGGCTGTGGCCATCGAGATGGCGTCTCTCCTCTGCAGCACCCTCCCTGGGGACAGTCTGGAAGGCGCCATCTGTCACTGCAGTCATGTGCTCCTACTAAAGCCCCGCAGGTTGGGCCGATCCGGCCTTGCCTCAGAGTTTCAAGCGGTGGAAATTGTCCTCCTTCCCCAGTTTCTGTCCTTAGGAACCTCGACGGGACCTGGTTCAGTGAGACTCGTCAGAGAGAAATTCCTTCCTCAAACCCTGGGCAGGTGTGATCCCTGCCTGGCTTCCCCCGGCCACAAGCTCTGCAGGCCACTTATGGTGGTAGGGACAACGCCCACGCTCCCAACCTGGGCCTCCATGTCCATGGCGGTCCCCTGTTTGCTGCCTCCCACTCCCCGTCTGTCTGAGCCTCTGCACCCACTGCGGCTTCCCTCTGTGACCCAGAGCACGCTCACAGCTAAAGTAGGCAACCCGCCAGGCAGCCCTGGGCACCTCCTGTGCCCACCTGAGTGTCCCAGGTCCTTGCTGACGGGGGCGAGCAGGGGACGTTAGCTGAAGAGCAGGGAGGCGAGCTGTGATGCAGCTTGGCAGGGAGGACAGAGGCTTGAAGTGGGCAGGACAGTGCTGAGTCCAGGTGTGACGGCCCAGGAGGGCGGGTGGACACCAGGCCCAGGCCTCGCCCTCTGTCTTGAAAATGGGAGTGGGCCTACAGTCACGGGTCACCAACGAGGGGGCTCCACTCAGAAGTGCACTCACGGGCGATGTATCATGGCCTTTGGGACCACAGTGGTGCGTGCAGTCCACTGTCGACCAGGACTCCGTAGGACAGGGCATGAGTGAGTTTTGCTGCTTCTCTTGCTGGCCCGTGAGACTGTGTTCAAATGCATGTGGTGAAGCAGCACGGGGGTGGGGGGTGGGGGTCATCGGTGTCCACCGCCCCAGAGCAGAACAGGGCACTGCTGCTCCCTCACAGAGGCACCAGCCGCAGGCAGGCAGGCCAGTGGTGGAAGTCCACGGGGCTCAGCGATCAGCTAGAAATGTGAACCCTCGTCATGGTTTGCTCATCACCCACCTCTTCCAGGTCCTCTCGCCTCTCTCGGGGTCCCTGAAGACTAATGGGCCACGCTGTGGGCGTTGCAGGAGCCCTAACTCAGCTGGTGTCATCTGTCACAGGCACAAGAAGATTTACCAGTCAGACAGGCTGCTCCTTCCACATGGCTGACAGCTGGGGGCGGTTTGCACACCTGCTGGTGAGAAATCCACTGTGGTCCTGTGGATCAAATTCTGTTACCAAGAACCGAGGGAGAGAGAGAAAGTCAGCTTTCTTAGGCCTGAGACTATGGAGTCAGTACTTTATAACAGGGACTTCCACCGAGCTGTCCTGCAGAGAGGGATTTTTAATTTTAGATATTACCACTAGACATGGTCTTGCATAGTCACGGTGACAAAACAGACACCTCTAAAGGACATAGAAATGAGACGATGACTTAATACAGGAGTAAAAGTCCACCTAAAAATACACCGGTCCTCGGAATATATTATAAAATGTTGAAAGACACAGGAATCTCCCCGAATAACCATCTGCCACAGAAGTCCCCGCACGCCAGGTAAACGGAAGGTGCGCTTCATGAACACAGATCTCTGATCGTTTGGCCAGGGTCCCGGTGAAAGCCCATCAGAGATGGCAGGTGTTGCCCAGGTGGAAGTTTGCCGTGGGATCCCCTCCACCCCGCCCGCCTTCCCGGTGGGTGATCTACGGCCCCAGCCTACAGCCGGTGGAGGAGGCGTCCATGAGGCTTGATTTAAGGCAGCCGGTGATAAACGCAGCGGGGAGGCTGATGGACGTCTCCAGTGACAGGGGGGCACGGCGGTGGACGCCGACAGCTCCTCTCCAGGCTGGAGAACCCAACAGGGAAACACGTGTCGGCCAGATAAATGGCTTTGCCGTTTCCGACTCTCGCGGAGGCCATTCGTTTCTGAGATAAGGAAGCTGCTCTCCAAAGTCACGGGAAGATAAACTGCAGAGGGATGGCTGTGGGCGGGGACCAGGCACCGGGGACGCAGCAGGAAGGATCCGCTCCTGGGAAGGGGCCCGCGGGGGCCACACTGCTGCCACCTGTTACTGAAAGTGTCCTGAGTGGCCGCTCTTGTCTTGGAACCTATTTCCAGGGTGACCATTAGGACTGGTTCTGTGGGAGTGACATCAGGGATGGCTGGGGACTGCCACCTGGCTTCCGGCCTCCTGGGCTGGGGTGGCTAGCTGGAGCCTGTGCCCCCTGAACTGGTCCCAGTTGTTGCTGATCTTCGCGGTTTGCTACTCCAAGCAGCGAGGAGAAGTTACTAGATCACGCGCTCAGCACCCGGCAGCAGGTGGCTCTCAGGAGGGGCTTGCCGGCCACTCAACGGTGTGCCCACAGCCGCTGCTTCCTGGGCTCTGCCTGCGCTGCCGTGATCCACGTCGACCTCGTCCCGCTGGACGGACACCACTCCACCCTGCAGCCGCCTACTCTCTCTCACACCCAGGCTCACTCGGGGCCAGTGGAGGGGCTGGCCGGTCGTCCACGCTGGACCGCTGTGGCTTGGTGTGCTGGCTGGCTGTCGCAGTCACTGACCACCCCTGGAGCGGGGACAGAGTCGGGAGACTTGGGAGATGAGGCTGGAGGACTAACCCAGGGAGGTAGCCGCTCCCCTGTCCCCAGCCCCAGCACAGCCTGAATGCACAGCGGGCTCTCTGAAGAGAACCTCGGGGGCTGGGCGTGCGGCTCAGTGGCACAGTGGCTCAGTGGCACAGTGGCTCAGTGGCACAGCGCTGCCCACTCTGCGCCAGGCCCCAGGTTCCTAGAACAGCAGAGAGCCCGCAGCTCGGCTTCCTCCACGGAAGCCCTGCTCCCTCCCATGGGGGCTCTGCCTGGGCAGGGTGACAGCTGGGCCACTGCTACAGGCGCATGCCCCAGCCTGGCAGGGGCCACCAGGACACCCTTGTCCCCCGGCCCATTGATGCCTGGCTCAGGCCCCATCTTCCCTCCTCCTGCCGCTTCCTGGCCCGTCGCCTCCATCCTCGGGGACGCTGCACGGGCAGCCGCGTGTCCTGCTTCCCGAGGACTAAGCTGACCTCTGGTTCCTGAGCTGCCCGGAG